CGACGCCTCTCACGTTTCGAAATGTAGAGGCGGCGACTAAGTTCTTGAGTTTGGCGAGTAAAGAAAACAATAAACCGTCGGAGCATTTCCGCGAGCTCGACGCGCGTATCATTCACTAGTCCGCTCTTGTCACGAACTTCAGATTTCAAAACCTAACTCGCCGACAAAATAACTACGAAGCCTTTAATTACAAAGTTCGCATCGTTGTCCCACCTCGGTCGCCGCCGTCGTCCTCGGGTCACAAGGGCACACATTTGCGAGTTCGGCGTGCCTCCACACTAACATAAGTACGGAATGGACTTCGGTTGCCTTGATGCGACTCGCGACGCACTCGATAGACTTAATGATCCCGGACTCCTCTCTTAGAGCTCGATCTTGGCAAAAATGAAAACTCGGATGCTCGTTAGCTTGTTCGTTGGCCGATTGGCTCTTTCGCGTGATGACCACCGCGCCGCCTACCGTATCGCGATCTGAGCGGCCGCACAAGCTCGTCGCAAAGCTGTTGTCGTACGGAAACCTCATTGATATTTCCCGTTTATACTGCGCGACTTCGCCGCGCCGATCGGCGGCTGACCAGGACTTTTAGGTGAGCTGACGTCTCCGCCCGATCAGGGTCTCGGAAAGACATCCGAAGGCTTCTCCCAGGAGGTCCTATAGAGCACTGGTTCTCAAACTGGATTCCGCGCTGCCCGGGTTACGGGTTTCCGCGGGCTGTTCCCGGGGCTCCGCATAAAATGCGACCGAGGAGCCCTGGGGTTCCGCCGGGCGTTTTCTGCGGCTTAGACAGGGAGCTCTCCAGTTCCTCCCGTGCTTGAAAATATCCATATGACGTCACCCACCTAACGCTCCGGGCTCACTCTCAGAGATACATGACTTTCCCACCTTGAAATCTGCGCGAACAAAACTCGGTGGTGCGAAACAGCCGGTGCAGTGAATTTAAAGAGCGCCAGCCATCGACCTGAGAGTGCATGAGATGCGATTGAATTGTTGTGTGCTAAAACAATATTTTGCGGGCTTGAGGACACAATAAAACTCCAAATTCTGACCATAGGCACGTATCTCTGCGAGCGGGGATTTTCGATTGACATTGCGACCAAGAACAAGTATCGGAACCGTTCAGATGTCGAACCAGACATGTGGCTACAACTATCAGGAAAGACACCAAACTTCGTTGAGATTTTGTCCGGATGCCAGATTCATCCGTCGCTTTGAAGGAAATCTTCGTCAAGAAATAGTCGTAGGAGTCTAACTTCGAAAGTTGTACCTATCATGCAGCTGCTCATGAATACCGGAGCTTTAGAGCTCCTTGTGATTTGGAGGTGTTTTCCGATAGCTAGGGCCTCCTTTCAGCGACCAGTCAGACTAATTCGTGTGTTTAGCCCGCTAGGGAATCCGCGGCTTATTCCAGGGCGGTGGGGGTTCCGCGCGAAAGAAAGTTTGGGAACCACTGCTATCGAGGACATAATTTTCTCGGGAAATATCATAAAAGCGCTTCTCCCGAGTCCTTCGAGAATTGAGAAATCGTCCGCGAAACTTTCTCGGGCGCTCCCCCTCGCGTGTCCCACGATACTCTCCTCAGAATTCTCTGTCCGTCACTAATATAAACTTGTTACGTCGTCTCCTCCTACCAATCGCGATCATCTGGAGAGGTATAGTCTGATCCCCTTCCTGACGGTCGAGCGACTTTCATTCTTCCGGCGGCGATGGCATCCCCGTCAATTTAATTCCTTGCGACCGGGAAAAGCACGTATTCATTCACTAATAAAAGGAGGACTGGCTCTCTGTATCCCGATTCCTCAAGAGGGCGCCCGTATGTCAGAGTTCGACCCTCTCACGAAGGATACATTCTACCGATTCCAATCTGGGCAGCTAGGGATGGGTAGGGATTCTTCTAATCCGTGCAAAGAAGGTATTCTCTCGAACATGGGGGATAAATCCATGTTGTGTTCGAATCAGGATGCCTATCTTGCAGGAAGGGTCCTGAGCTATGCCTGCCACCAGCCCGAGTATGCCCTCCTAAGGCATGAGCACCTCCCTGCTGGCATGAGCAAGATGTAACTGTATACAGTAAAACCTCGTCAAGACGGACCCGGATACAATGGATTCATTTATTGACCATGTCGTATTAGATCACATTCATCCTAGTACGAGACCCTCCAGAGAGAGGCGATGGCTCAGTTGGGCGGGGCAATGGGCACCCGGCTACCAAAGACCGGTTATTCAAGATCCCTCGACGTCCCTCATTTCGGTCCAACTTCGGAGCATTGGTTGATTTAAAGTCGTCACAGGACAGATCGCAGGCCATAAGATCCACGATCCCCGGAGAAACCAGACGAGGAAGTCGATATGTTCGAGCCTCTGACAACTCGAAATTTGTGTGCGGCCTGAATGAAGCTCCTCCGGAATGTGTGTGGCCCTTGCTTATTTCAAGTCCTGATTCAATCAGCAGACACCTGATACCCGTCTCGTGTTCCGCCTTCGACCCGGAGTATCGCCACCTTACTCAGCCGTTCGTACAAAGAGCATTCCGGGGATTACCTGCTCCTCGCGACAGATATTATAATTGGGATGTAGCAGCGCGGCCCTCCGTGGAATCCGTGCAGCAGCCACGGCGGGCTCGAAATTCGTCTTTGTAGTCGCATATTTTTCGGAGCAGAGCTGGAGTTCAATCTCTCTGTTCAGTGCTGACAAGTCCTTGCATTGAGGCTCCTGAATAGCGTGGTTTCGCTGAGCACACTCTGAGAGAACTGCGAATACAGACCTGCTTCCATGGATGTCAACTCGTTCCCGCCGTTTTCTTTGGAGGTGCTGCTCTTTGGAAAGAAGCGATCTCTCACTCGAGTCCAACCTCCAGGGGGAAGATCTCGAGGTGTTCCATCTCTCTTGTTCCCCCCAACGTCACTGGAAAAAATCGCTTTAATATGCACCTCCTCACAATATTGCGGAAGACATACGACGGAATTAGCTTAGCTATTGAAGGAAGTCCCCCTGCATGGGCGAAGGTAGCGACGAACTGGTCGGGGTTTAGTCTCTAGGGAGCTCGAGAATTCCGATATCGTCCCGGGAAGATGACTCTGAGAACAACAGCTCCCTTCACGGCTTCAATCTTCCAGCGGAGGGACAACGATCGCCGCATGCCGGGGTACCATGGAATGAGCTCGAGATTCCGAATTCCCATCCAGGATCGAAGACGTGAGCGGAAACTGCTGGATGGGGGTCGCCCGGCGCAAAGTGCGTCGTGGGAGTGCTCCAGAGGGCGCTGTTTCTTCCGGGCACCTGTGATTCGATGAATCCGCTCCCGATTCGTGTTTAAGAAGCCCTCCTCTCTCTCCTCGATCATTCTGCGATCATCAAAGCTCCTGGCGAATGGGATCAGTTGATACCGGTCGGAATGAAAATCAATAGTTTGTGTTCTTCCTGAGTGACCTGGAGAATAGACTTACCTCAAGAGTCCCCAGGACCCGCATTACTGAGAGGGTGAAGGGAGAGAGACCTCGAAATTCCTCGGAGAAGCAGCAAATCATCCGATCCGGAGGTAGGTTGAACGGCCCTTGTCGAGACTGCTGAGCCTACACGAAATCCAGGGTACGAAATCGGAACGTCTCGAACGACTTGCCGCGCCGCTCGAGAAAATATTTATCGAGGGCCATGAATGGGGCACCTGCGATCGCCCCTGGTTCCTCCGCGATCTGAAAACGGTCACCTCCACCATGGCGGGATTCCTGTCGGATCATTTCCCTGTAAGCCCCCACACGATCCTTCCAAACCATCAGGCTTGTCTGAGAAAGCGAACAACCTCCGTACAAATACTATGGTACCACGGTTGATTGGTCTGAAGAGAAGGATCGTTGAATTTTTTGAGCGGGATGACGATGTCAACCATGTTGAGTTTATGCGCACCGATGATCCGCCGGAATCAGAATTGATCAGCAAACGATGTTATGGAATGAGGGTCACTGCATGGATTTCGCTCTCGGACGGCACAAAACACCCGAGTGCCTTCTCTCCGACACTCTCGCGGAGGAACTCTCGCTCCGTGCACCGGTGTTGAACGGAAAATCAAGAACGAGGTACGAGCAGCATATTGCACCATACCTACGTCGGGAATACGAAGATTTCATCGACGAACTATTAATCCCCAGCATGGCCCCTGATTCCATGGCGAGAGTGATTTTCATCACAGTGTTGCTTCATGCAACACCGCGTTCACGCTCGCATGAGAAGAGCCAGAAGACGCCGGAAAGAGAGAGCTATCAGGATGGTGAGACACGGGAAGTCCGAGATGCTAGTTCGGTGAAATCAGAGTCCTCCCGACCGCCAACTTGGGGGTCAGGGGGGCAGAGGGCCTGCCATTTCCGCGGGTCACCTGACTCCTCAATCGTTCCTGCTCCCTGGCTAGGAATACCGACAATTTAGATCCCTCATCGACACCGCTCCTCCTGAGGGCGACAGGAGATGATTTCCTTTCAATGATCTCGCTATCGCGCTCTCGAACCCGCCACTCTCCCGTCGCGACTCGGACTTCTGCTTCATCTCCACCGCGCGTTCTCCACTGCGAAGATTCTTCATTCCTCCTGCTCAGATCGATTGAATCGACTCCAATCTGTGGGCAGAAGCTCCGAGAGATGTTTTCGCGGGCTGACTTTCGAATCTCTGTTTACCCATACTTTCGATAAGCGTGATTGATTTTCTTTCAAACCCAGGCGGATCTGGGCTCGAGTCGCCGAGACTTTGAACCACATCATAGGACTCGAATACGATCGCACATCGATCGTCAGGTCCCCGTCTCTCACACCGGTTGTGCGGTCCAGGATCTTGTTGTTCGAGTGATTCCGGAGCACGACCGCGTCACTCATGAAGCTCTCCAGAACAGCAGCAGATGATGCTGTATGCGTGTGCTGTAGAAGACGACGAGTGATTCGGCTGCCGTCGGGCTGCAGCTGTGAAATAGCTGACAATTCGTGAGAAAAGTACAAACTAAGTCAGTGAACGGCTTCGGAATGCCGACAGAGGTGACGGTGAAGACTCTGGATTCCAACCAGTATCAATTCAAGATCCCAGACGAGGTTAGTTCGTGTTGACGCCTAACTTAAATGTCGCAGCATTTTGAAGCGAGCTTGTCAGATCTCAACTTACTGGGGAATGGCAGCTCGACTCAGTCGTTCCATAGTTTGTCGGTAACAAGTACCATAATGTGCTGAGCTCTGATCTAGAATCGTCGCGATGCTGGTTTTTTTATGGAACTCGAGAATGCAGATGATTATTCGTGGGCGAATGTGCCCACAGCGAAATGTGATCTGCATGTGGGGCCCTCTCTGACTTTTCCCCTGCATCTGTCTTGAACGAGTGAAGTGCCATAAATTAGTCTAGCAATCCCCGTAAGCTAACGAGCGTTACTAATTGCAGTTCACAGTAAAGGAGTTCAAGGAACATATCGCTAGCGAAGTGGTGGGTAGTATTTCGTATGCGGTATAAGTCAGACCCTATCGGCTGCGACGGAGGTCAAGGCTGTGCTTCTGAACGAAGATTTCACCCTCCAGAATGTTCCGTGGGATAAACAGAGAATCATCTTCGGAGGCAAAGTTCTTCAAGATGATCGGAAACTCGCGGACTGTCACGTCGACAAGAAGACGGTGCACTTGGTGCAGAAGTTGCCCACTCTCAACCCCATTCCTGAGTCCGGAGCGTCGAGTTCTTCGTCCAGTCAGCGACCATCGCAACAGCACCCGGGCTCTATCCATATTCCATTGTAAGCTCACCGGCTCACGTTGTGTGATTCATGCTCAGAACTTGTATTGAGGCTTCAGAGGAATATCTTCGCCGTCCGCACCCCCTGAAGGGAGGCTCAGGGGGCCATGATGAATGATTCCTGTAAAAAATCTCCGTACCGAATTTACAGAAATCGGAGTCCGGGGACGCTGATCGTCGAAGCCATAATCCCTCCAGAACAAATACAACCTGGCGACCAAATCGAGCAGATCATCCGACAGGTCATCTCCACCATGGGCAACATTAATCCGATGGGAGTGGAGACCGGAGTCAGCCCCGAAGCCGGAGGTGCGTTTCCTTCTGAAGCTATTTTCGGGGAGGCGATGAATTGAATATCGATCTCAAAAGTCGTTCCCTCACCTCTCATAGCCTACATCAATCAACGTGAACTCATAAGAAGACTTCGGACAATTCGTTTTCTGTTCCGTGTTGCCTTCAGCGGTGTTAACGCTCTCGAGGGCCGACCGACAGAGACGTTTTTAGCGCGGAACCACGCTGAGGGCTCACGAGCAGCGAATGCTGAGGGGGGAACAGCAGCCGATGCTTCACCCGATGCGGGTCTGAGCCCGCCGAACGCGACGCCAAGGCAGCCGAACAGACCGTTCTCGTATTTGACCGATCAAGAGATAAGCCCTACGCGGGAGAACCTTTCTCGCGTATACCAGGAGCTCGACTGTTTGCAAGAACGCCTCAGAGTAGGTTCACTTTCCTCTGCTTCGTTCTTCTTAAGGCGGGAAAGAAGGGTTCCCAATAATGATTCGAATACCGTGACACTTATCGGATGAGGTCCAGAATGGATGCAAGGGGTTGATTTGAATGTTGAAATTTTTCCGCAGCCCTTCACGGTGCGCTATCGCGAACTGCTGGCGCGACCGAACGTGACCGCCGATGATCTCAACGAGCAACCCACCCGTCAACTGACGAGCAGAATGGCGTTGACGTTGCACGCGATGTCTCATATACAGCACCACCTGAGCGACCTAGAGATCGATCCTCGACATCCCGATCAGATCACGTCGCGACAAGAAGTCATTCCGATGGCTATACACGGCCGCGTCAATCTCGATTCTGTGGCTTTCTTGACTAACGTGCAGGAGAGAGGTCCTGCATCTTCCCAGCAACAGCAAGCCGGGGGCCGAATGACCGTTGGCCAAGCCGCAAGTCAGGCAGCGGGTCAGGCTGCGGGTCGGCAACCCTCGATCCACGTCGAGGTCACTCGACGGGTCCCCGAACCTGCGCCATCGGCTCAGGGCTCGAGTCAAGCGGCTTCCCGCGATCAAACTTCCACCGGTACCCAAACTTCGAGAGCCGAAGCACGGGCTCCGGGCGACACAGCGAACCAGCCGTCAGCACCGCTCTCGCAACTGAGTCAACTCCAGCAACAAGCGCAGCAACACGTACAGAACATTTTCAGTCATTTCGACATCGTCGGTGAGTCTCTCCGACGTCGCAATCGAGCGCCGTATCGGTTCAAGATTCGAACATCCACCTCCTCGTATGAGTTCCGTATGATGACCTTTCTTCGTCCCACGTATTCCTCCGTCGTTTCCAAACGGACTGAAAGTCTTGCATTCCCTAACGTTGACGCTAAAATGGCTCCGTGCCGTCTTTCCCCAGGGAGATTCACCGACACGGCCTTCCGAACGAGAGAACGTCGGGGCTCAGTTCCGAATAGCGAAGCGCCGTCGAGAGAAGATACCACGGCCAGCAACACGACAACGAACACGACCGACACGCCGACCACGACCGGCTCGTCCATGAATAGCGGACCTCGACCGACGACGGCAACGATTAACGTAACGTCACAGATACTGTCTCAAGGTATAGGGCAGTTCGATCCGTTCCTGGCTTGCGATTCGGTCTGGACCCACTTCGATCGTTCGGCAGCATCGAGGCGAGGCGCCTCGCAAAGATCGTCGAGCGCTCCAGCCCCGACGCGGAGAACTGCTGCGCCCTCCGCCGCCGCCGCCTTGTCCAGACCCGCTGGCGCTTCCGTCAACGCGAGAGCAGCGGGTCCGCGGAACCTGTCCGGTGCTGCTTCGACGGACAGCATCGACTTCACATTCATGACATCCAGTAATTTCGAAGAAGTTCTACGCATGATCTTCCCGAACGTCCAGCCGGCGGGATTGATTCGTTCGATGCCATTCGGCGATCTGATCGAGTGGAACTTCGAGCAGGGCGCGGAAAGCGACTTCTTCACCGGTTTGCTGCGAGTTCTGTTGACAGAACTCCAGTCTGTTGACTTCCTACAAGTTATACTCCAACAGAGATTATCTCTCTTGAACTCTTTGCGAGAGCCACTCCAGAACTACCTGCGACAGCGTCTCCTTAACGGCATGCCACAGACACCGGAACTGGTCGAAGTTCGGGTCAACGAGATCACCAACAGTTGGTCCTCCCAATTGCCTCTCGGGATACCCGAAGCGAACATTCTGCCGGGCATCGATATCAGAGCGACTTTAGTGTCTTTCCTGAGAACACGACTCGTCACGCTATTCGCCTTCATCCTGAACTCGAGCTCGGACCAAGAAGAGTTCGGCATTAATTTGTTCATGCAATGTCGTGACGCGATCGGTCATGCCTGCGTCCTGTTGGCTTTGTGTTGCGACGACGCCGTCGAGTCGGTCGATAGGATTCTCGACGCCCGCATGAGAAATTTGGACGGAGTCTATCACGGTCCTTTTCCCGCTGAAATCATGCGACGTCTCCGAGGGAACGCGACACCCGCATCGCAGGCCGACGAAGACGCTCTGAGGAGATTCATTGTGAGGACTCAGCCAGCCGACGCAAGCGCTCCCGTGATGATGGATGTCGATCAGCCAAACGGATCGGCTGAATCGAGTATAGATTCCTCTAATAATCTCATCAGCACCGAATCAAGAGGGGTGAGTATCGGCAAAGAGAGAGAAAGAAAGACAAATCGTCAACAAAGAGAGCTCTTCCAGAATTTCTCCCGACAGGAGTGTCCCTCGAATTTTAACTGTTTTATGATGCGTCGCACATTCCGAGATTTCCCTCGTTCCTGTTCCAGCCGAACCGGACGACCGCTCCGGTCAGTCACGAAGTCGCTCTGGGAGCTCTGCAAGACGCCGCTTCCGCGGGAGATCCCTCCGAGTCGAGAGTATGGAGGGGAGTGGTGCCCTCGAGTTGGGCTCCCATCATCGCGCGGGACGTGCAGTCACAATCCATCCAGCAACGACCTCTAAGCGACGCCTACATTGAGGGCATGCCAAGCAAAAGACGTCGCCTCATGAAATCGACGAACCCGTCGAAGCTCTCGAACGTCCACGCCTCCTTGCAAGAGGTAAGATTAATGGAATTTCGTCTTCTATCCTTATGTCACGTGACCCGAATCGAGAAGAAAGGAAAGTCTTTTGCGTCTCCTCCCGGACAGGTCCAGTATGAGTCGGTCAATTTCTTTCTTTTTCTTCAAGGCGATACAGCGCGCAGGCGTGCGACCTCGTACAAGCTTAGAAGCTCTCGGAGCGGATCTGGAACGCAATAAGATGAAATTGCAAGACTCCCTGCAGAAAACTATCCGGGATCGGTTGGCCAGACGACTCACCGAGGACAAGGATTTCGAGAGCGACAAATTCCCTTACGCTAAGCGAATGGCTGAATGAGACAATTGAGTTCCATAAATTCCGTGCTCTGCCGCGTGAATCATGAGAGAGAGAAACATTTTATGAATCCGTAGGTAGGATCGGATTTCTTTGCTTCTTTTCCCGCGTGTGCAATTCACGGTGCTTCTTTAGGATAAAATAAAGTATTCGATGACTTGAAAAGTGACTAAGACGCAAGCCTTGCCTTCAGGGCTTTTCCTGTCGGGAACGATTGACTCGCAGAAGCTCCGTATCTCGAGCGTGTAGAAATATTTCAGCGCGGCAGCCCGCTTCGAGATCGGGGTACTCGTCTGACGACCCTGGCTCAAGCTTGGATCCAAGAGGGAGACTTGCCACCGCGCGGATATTTCTTTCTTGAAAAGTTATTGTGGTTCAAGAGAACTCAATTGAATAATTCATCATCATGGAGCCCATCGCCCCTGGGCTCCCGGAACAGGCGATGGGGCAGCCCGGGTATCCGTAGCAGATTCCGCATTGAAACATGGGCCCAGTCCTTCTTTTCAGAACTCATGATTTCCCCCGCCCCTGCTCGGTCCATCAGACCCCCCGTGAGTTTCAGAGGGAGATGAGGCGGCGTGTTTGCGTAGCCGTGGGGCTCCTCTCAAAAATCCTTGTCGAGAGCTCCTCAATGTTCAAGTAGCGCTTTGGCTATCCGACAGTCAGAGGAGAAAATCATCGACTATCGGACCGACGGCGAGGACGACTGTGGGTTCTGTCGGCCCCGTTAGGCGAGAGGCTCGACTCTATAGCGTCATGAGACGTTTCATCCACGAGCGGCAGCATGACTCGGTAGTCTCCACGCCGCGCCGCCGCAGCCATCGACAGTTGCAGCGGTGCCCACGAGCTACGAGAGGAGTACAAGTAAGGGCGAGTGAGAAGATAATCGGCTCACCATTGCGTACCACGGTCGTCTGCCTGTAAGAACACTACAAGCAAACAAATGACTCCTCCGTTGAGCTTCAGATCCTGGATTCGTGCCGATGCTCGCAGCGAGAGTCCGTCGTTTTATTGACTGAGGTGTCGATTGTCGTTTCGAAAGGTTTTCGCCTTTAAGTGGCGTTTCCGGTGGGCAGATCCCGTCTCGGGAATGCGTGTGGCGCCCCGAGAGTCCCTGTTGCTGCCCGTGCACCCGAGTACCGTGAGCCCGGCAATGCATAGACAATCTATCCACTGTATTTGAGACATTGTACCCTCTGACGTCAAACTACCGCAACCGCCTAATCTTCCTCTTCGTAAGCTAATATCGCCCTGAAGGGAAGAAACCTGCACAATGAATGTGATGTCTAAATCAACACCAGATCCGGATTACCAAGAAATCGAACTGGAAATGGATGGGATTCAATCACCGTCATGTAGTGCTTACAGTGCGGGTGTTGCCTTCTATTCGTGTAAGGTGAGCGTGCTGAACCTCGCTGAAAAATCAAATTGAAACGTCGATCCCCCCCCCGTCCATCCGATCGAGCTCCCGGAGCCCGAAATCGAATCCCACTGTTCAGTGGTTTTGCGTTGTCCGAAAACATCGTCTCGCCAAATGGATTCGCTCTCGAATCTCTTCTCGTTCCTCGGACTGCGCTACTCGCAGAGAGCGACCGTTCAGAATCAGAGTGTTTCGGCGAACGCGATTTCAGAGGAGAACAGTCTCCGATACAATTATCCAAGCACACCCAGATCGGAATTTGCGTCCGAGGGAAATCTGGGCACGGATGGTCGAATGTGCTGACCGAGTTTATCCGAGTTGACTTGTCTTTTACGCCTTCAAGAACTATCCCGAACAATCGATGAAAATGATGCGCACCTACTGGCTGCAGGAAAAGATGTGTGACATCGATATTCAACTAGAAGACGATAATCAGCCAATCCGGGCCCACCGGTGAGTTGACTGGAATTCCTCATTCGGATTACTTCAATCGATTGACGCTATGGACGAATACTTTCGAGCTTGACAGCTGTCAAGCTGCTGACAGAAACCACCCGCCCGTGAGCGTGGCCGAGAAAACGGCATAGAGAATTGCTGATTCATTGAATGAGACTGCGAAACCTTCCGAGGGAAGCATTGATCCACGAGGCGGAATTCGCGAGAGACCCCATGCGGCTGACCACGTGCTATCGACACCCAAAAATCGCCTCGAGTTGAGCGAGGCAGGATCAGACGTTGTCACATGCTACTAGGAGGCGTAGAACGATGACTCGTGACCAGGTGACATTCCGTTGCGGTGGGCCCTCGAGCATCACTTTCGTGGCGATGCTGCGGAAACACGACCATTCGGGGGCTCGTAGCTCGAATTCTCGTTTGTCAGCCGGCCGCCGTTGTCGCTCGGATTATGAAAGGCTCCCACAGGCAATACTCGCCACTTGGAGCAGTTAAATGCTTACTCATGCGACCGTCCAGCTCCTTCAACTCACAATCATCTATTTTGTCGAGTGGCTGACACTCCTGACGACCCACGGGATCGCTGTTAACACGGAAATCGTGACATGTGTCAGGCTCGTGAGACCGTTTCGGGTTGCTGGGTGTCTCCGACCCTGAATAAACAAATGAGCACGTCGCGCTTCCAATTCCAGGGTGGTTCTCGCAGCGGCCAGTCCTTATTTCCGCGCGATGTTCACTTCCGGATTCGAGGATGCTTCGAAACAGCGAATTCAAATCAAAGGCATCTCGAAGCTCATTATGTTACAGGTCTTAAACTTCGCATATTCCGGGAAGGTACGATCGAGAGAAAGTCTTTGCGCATACTTCCTTCTTCTTGCCGCTCCACCCCCCCCCCCCCCTAATCTACGAGTTCACATCGAGCTCATGCTTCAGGTTCGGATGGTGTCGGACGATAGCGTGTGCGAACTCTTGATTGCCGCCAACATGCTGCAGGTGAGAAACGGAGCTCAGTCGATTACGACGAAATATGCGCGGGAATGCAGACAGACCAGCATCGAGACTCTAACTCATGTCTTCATATCCCACACTGGCGCAGGTCCGCGAAATCACAGAGGCCTGTTCGCGGTACATGGAAAGTCAGTTGGATCCGTCGAACTGCATCGGAATTCTGAAATTTTCGGAACGACACGATCTGAAAAATCTGCAGCGGAAAGCTGAAACGTATATATATGAGAACTTCACAGAAGTAGGTCTGGAATTGCACCTCCCGCTCAGTGCGGCCAGAGAGGACATGGATCTGCGAGTGAATTCACTAAAAATCTCAGCCCTTCTCATGGACCTATATGTCGTCATCAGGTCTGTCAAGGCGACGAATTTCTCGATTTGAAGTTCTGTGAGATGTTACACATGTTGAAAAACGAAAACTTCAGAAAAACGAATGACTGCCGAATCTTTGAGGCCTGTCTGAGGTGAGCTACTTAAGGAAGGTGACCTTGAGGGATATTTCATCGGTCTTTGGCTCTAATTGGAATGTAATCGATCGGAACTTATCATATCTTAGGTGGATACGCCGAGACTGTGTGAATAGGAAGGTTTGGATGCGGCCGATCCTCCAGGTGCTCCGATGCTATTTCTCGTCGGTGGAATATTTGGAAGAGCTCATCCAAACGTGTCCGTTGATACGAGAGAAGCAGGATTGTGTAGAATACATACAAAAGATCGTCCAAGTGAGTTCAGGCGATCAGTCAATTGCATGCTGTTCACACGACTGATGATTTGAGGGTCAGCAGCATGATTAAGTGGAGACCCGACAAAAGAAAACCGCGCCTGAACTGTGGACCTTCTCGAGATGAGGGAGGCGCTGCCTTCCCATTTCGAATCCCCATCTCAGTCAGATCTCCCAAGTGTCTGATCCTCCGACAGAAAGATTCGAAGCGCGAATATTCATTCAAGGATCTCAATCAAAAGAAGTTCTTCTATCGAGTTCCCGTCTCCAGCAAATCGAAACATCCGTGCGCAATGTACGTCGTCGGCGGCTATCATGTGAACTCATTGTCGAACTGCGAAGTGTTCAACGCATCGGACGGCACGTGGATACAAGCGCAGCCTTTGCCCGTGGCCCGATCAGGACTAGCAATCGTGTTCCTCAACAATCGGTATTTACGACGGAAGAAAATTCGAGGAATCAATGAGAATATGTCATGGAGGGGATCATGTGGGGGACTTCGGGCGAGACAGAGCGAAGCGTGTTCTCATCAGGACGAATCGCTCCCGAGTGAACGTTGCTGTCGCGGCAGTCGATGTTTGGTACCCACGAAAATTACCTGCAAGATTTAAACGCTTTTTGCCAAGTAGTTCATTTAAAGGCTCTTCGCTCTCGGAGGACGGGTCCATCAGAAAGACAGCGATGTTCCCATCCAAGATGTCAACTGTGTCCATATCTTAGATGTCGAATCGAAAACCTGGAGTGTAAGCAAGCCAGACGCTGTAACCATATGAGCATATATGTGTGAATATATGCTACATCTTTATACGGGAATCCCCTCGATTCATTATCTGAAGACCATGCTGAGAACCCCCTATGCGAGCACGAGAAAACCTTTCCTTTTGGTCCGTCAGGAGGGACCTACGTTGATCATTCCAAGGCATCGGTTGAGTGCCGTTTCTCTGGACGGGTGCATCTACGTCGTCGGAGGGTCCCATCATACGACTTCCTTGAACAGCGTTGAGCGGTACAATCCCTGCTCCGAGATCCATATGGAAGGGAAACTTCCATACTATCTTGCGAGGATGAACTCAGAATTCGAGAGCACGTGGAAAAAATACGAAAATACGAATGTTGCAGGTTCGATCCAAAGACGAATCTTTGGTCTTTGAGAGCTTCGATGAATGTGGCTCGGACAGGTCATGGTTGCACGACATGTAACGGGAAGATCTACGTCATAGGTGAGTGAATGATTCTCTTTGCCTATTGTTGTCCTCTTCGTGAATGACGTTCAGGCCAGCATCGAATGTGTGAGTCACTCCAGGAGGCTCGAGCGGGACCGAAAGACTTGACTCGGTGGAAATTTATGACCCGAAAATCGACAAGTGGACGTTGATAACATCATTGCCGGAACCTCGAAGTGGACTGGGTGAGGGAATCATTCATGAAATCACACACCAAGTTCCCGAAGAAAAGATACTTACCTAAGTGAATCCTCTCGATGCCGACTCATTTTTTTCTGAAGGAGCTTCTTGCCTCGGAGGCTTCATTTTCGCAATCGGCGGCTGCGAGGTTGGTGGCCAAGTGAGCAAGGTCAGTAGAACGAGAACAGTGTTCCCTGCATTCGAATGCAGACAGCATCTTCCGCGGACTGATTATTCCAATGTTGCAATGGAACGCGACACCGAGTGAGCGTAACTTCCTTCATAGGTGGAACGCTATAACACCGAGACGGGCGAGTGGCAGAACGTGAGCAGCTTGCAAGAAGCACGCAGCGGGCACAGCGTGATTACAATGGCGAACAAAATTTACGCCCTGGGTAAGTTCGATCAAAGCGCTTCTATGGACCATTGCACAAGAGCCTGAATTTGATCACTTTATTCTGAAATTAGGCGGCTTCACTGGAAACGAGTTCCTCAGCTCCGTCGAGGTCTACAATTTCGAGAAAAATGAATGGTGTTCAGCTCCGCCGCTGCTGAGCCCCCGGAGCGGGCACGCGGCGGCGGCCCCTCATTGAAGCAGAATCAGAACGCACTCGAAGACTATACCACTGCCGTCGAGAGGCGCCCCCTCCTTCTTAGGTCAAGCTTGGCATTGGATGTGATATTAAGAAGACACACGGATGTCGTGATTCCCGTAAGGTCCCAAATTTATGAACCTCCGAGGCATGAGGACGGCACAGCAATCACTTGTAAAAAATTGGAGAGACCCTGTAAACAACTCTGTGAATACTGTGAAAATAAAAGTTTCGAGGTCGGCGATGTTTCCAGCGAAAAATCACATTGAACTTCACCTCAGTTCCGACGCGAGCCATACCACCCATACGCCCTCGAAGGTAAGATACTTGGACTCCGGCTCTCATGCGAGAACGCTCGGCCGACCAATGATCAGTTGCTTGCGGGAGGAATTTAAGCAAGAAGAAGTCCTCTCAAATTCATGATGGGTAATTCAAAATTCAATGAGTTTCGACAAGAGGGGTCTTGGAGAGGCTCTCATGAATAATAGAAGATGATTATCTAGTTCGGTCGTCCACATATATTGGCATGACTACGAAGTTCGTGCAAGGCGAATTCTATGAGACAGTCTGCATCATACAATATCTCGATTTTCGAGCGCCGACCAGACCGCGAATCAGCTCCGAGTTAGCAGAGCAGGGCGGGTTTGCGTGTCTTGCGAGTTTTTCCCGTCGGAGATCATTACAATCATTACTTACGAACTATGCTCCCCTGAAAGGGCAAATTGACCGTCCTAGCACGTATCCACGACCGCGAATATTTCGTAAGCGACGGGAGCATACTCGAACTCGATTCACTCCGTACATCGGAAAGGAGCCCGCCGGGTTCGAGTATTCGTATAGAATGCACCAGATGGCGCCAGTGTCGATTTGGTAAGGTCTGTCAACACGTGAACTTTTCTACAGCTCTCCCAGTCGTGCTTCAGCTGGCGAGGTGGACGGTGCTATTGTGTAGAGGATCGTTGACAAGTGAAAGCGTGCGAGACAGATTGTTGTGATTCACTGTTGGATAAGCGTGACTGCTCGGAGCAACTTTCGAGGAGCGATGTCGATGGGGCGCCACTGAAAGGTACAATGTCAGCTGATTGTCGAATTTGCCTGCGACACTATCTGTGTATCGAGGCTCGGGGGGAAACACTTGGCGTCATTCGAATGTCTCGATTATTAGACGTTCCTTGGAACATTGAAGGAATGCATCAGAGTCTGAGAAGGGAAAATGGCTTCAGAGGCAAAGTCTCGCCGCTGACTGTCGACATTTCCCCTATACGGGATCTTCTCTCTCGATCAGCTGACGGTGTCGACTCTGCCGGCTTATCATGGCCCGAGTTACGCTTGGGAGGTGGAGATCGCCACTCGCCGCCTTACGACATGCGACCAGTTCAGGTCCTATGAGCGATGGACCCGGTGACAGCTGCGCAAGTTGAAGCGTTTGGGACCCCATAACCACTTGTGTAGTCCATGTGGAAGTCGCTTCGTTCTTGTTGAGCGGTAGATTTACGCGTGTGATCAGTCGACACAAAGAGCATTAGAAAAAGCAAGCGGGCTCATGGATTGGCTAATGAATTCCACTATAGACATCTCTTAGCCTAGAGGCGTCGACAAATATGGAAACTTGTGTGAGTGAGATGACATGTCTCGAATGTTTTATCGCCCAGCGCTTGAAACGAACCGCCGGGGAGAATTTGCCCATCCATATCAGGGAAGGGAATATTTTTTATGGTAACTCGTCGCCCGGTTCCGGGTAGATCACCCGAAAGCGGTCGCTTCCGAATCAGCTGAGACTCAAAGGTGAAAAGCCATGACAAAGAGTCGGCTGCTTGACCCGAGCTGCTTGTGGACGCGATGCAGAAAATCGAGCTTGTATTCCTGGGCGCTCCGGCGCAACTATTGTCCGCGTACGAAACCACCACGTCGGCTACGCGAGATTCCAGGAATAGATTATTTTGCCGAGCAGTCGACCTCTCGACAATTGTTCCGCAAATAAGGAAGAAGAAACAAAAAATCGACCGTGCGTGCCATCCAAGTTTTTAATTTTTCTCGATCCACCTCGCTGCGTTCCAAATCTGACAATGAGCATCGTCTGGACATCAATCACTCGACACTTCTCACAAGCCGAGCTGAACCAGCGTGGCCGAGACCGTCATGAGCACGCCGCCCGCGCCGCCACGGTTTCGAATCCCAAAATGGTCCGAGGGCTTCATTTCTGGCCAGGATCCTACGCATGAGCTCTCGCCGAACGCTGAAGCCACGCGAGGAGCTGCGTTCATCGGCGGCGGACAGTTTTGGCCAAAACGGACTGTCGTTGAATGAAAGATATATAGAAAGCAAAAGCAATAACTGTCAGACGGAGAGCGCGACAGCAGCGAGGGGTTTGAGGCGCCGACGATCGCATAAACTGCTAGCTCGGCATTGTTCTCCTCTAAACAGTCGAGTCTTTCCGCGGCCAGCCGGCGGGAGGGCGAGCGTGCTCGCGTCTCTTGAGTTTCCTTCATTTTCCAAATGCTCCCCTTTGGAGATTCTTGGACCGCCTGGCTCGCTCTCCAAAGCAAGCTAGTCAAGAGAGGAACCGAACGAAGAAAAAACGAGGGTATAGAAGGGCAGCGTACGTGTCCAGGGTATAAAACGGAAACGGAGTCACGGACTAAGGTATTGGAGGGCGTACTTTTTGCTGTCGCGGTTCCGTCGCGTGTCATCAATATGTCCGCCTCGTTCCGGAGCCGTGCTATAATTGGGTCTTTTTTTGGAAGAGCGCTCATTGCCAGCCAGTCGTACCGCGACTTTGTCGCCGGAGTCTCATGAGGAACCTGAAAGATGAAGCTACCATCAACCTCTCGTCGCGCATCGCATTGGGGCATCAAGATCGCGGAAAAAAGTTCCGAGAGCCAATGGCGTGGCTCTGACCGTCAGATCGAGAGAGACCGATCGGATGGGGTGCATCCTTCATGCGTCATGCGTCAATCGCAGGATAGCGAGTAAAGCTCGGTCAATCGAGTGGATATGAATTAGGTCCGCTCATAGACTCACAACTCACAAGTCGAAGTACAGTTCTCCAGAGTCGATACCGAGAGTCGGCCAGATACTCCTCGATGGGCATGGTGAAAGGGACATCTTTGACCCCTCTCCCCTTTCGATTGAGGGTTGATGATGCATTTTGAGGGTAATACGCCGCTTTCGTTTCACCAGTTGAGACTCCAGGCCTCCGGGACGCCGCTCCTCAGATAAATGAAATGGATCTGGCAAGGCCGTATGAGGAGTCATACAGAAGGAGGAGGATCTTGAGCTGAGAGGGATTTGTTCCGCTATCGAGCCCAAGCTCCAACGGAATCTATTTGTTCCCGAATTTATTTCTCGATTTCGCCGTTTGGTTCTGCCCGGGCACACGAGATTCCCCGGAGCCGCCATAACGACCGATTGGGGGCCCGCAGCCTCCTTGTTTTCCGGGCTGTATGTCAATTACGTCGAATTTCTTTTTCCACTCCACCGGTTGTCGGCTTGCCCGTCAGCCTCGTTTATTTCGTGACAAGTCGACCCTACATGCGCTCGGCGAGGGCTGCTGTCATCTTGAGTGTCCAGCTGCTACCGTAAACGCCCTCAGCGAGGTGATGAGACAAGCTAGCAATACATGTGTTTGCACGGACATCCGCACTGCCCTGTACGGTGTCCCGTGGAAGAGCTGCCGATTTGATATACGCTAGCCGACACCTCGGCTCGAATTTCCGTCGCTGCTTGACTCGGTCTATAGCTGACGAGTGCTGCGAGCCGTACGGCCGCGTTTCCGAAAAACGTCTCCTGACGATTGGAGCGGAGAAGAGTACGGGGGAGGTGCGCACGGCGGGTGTGGTGGAGAAAAAAATAGAATGAAAACACCAGGCGACCTCCCAGCGGTGACAATGATGGCTGGCTGGCTGGCTCGGCGGCAGGGGGACGTCTTCTGAAAGAAGAAGGACAAAACAGTGTAGTACATGGAAGAAGAAGCTGCTGCTTCGAAGTCTATGTAGCCTCTACCCCCAGGGATCGAATGCTGCTGGTTCGTTGCTTTCCTCCGCGCTCTTTTTTTCCAGAAGGAAACGAGAGTCAGAAGCGTAAGCGGAGGAGTCGAGGTCAACAATGACGAGGTGCGAGAGAAGACCGTCCACGAGGGCTTCGGGGAACGGACGGAATAGCTTGTGGGAGGGAGAGGGAGTTTTCTCGTGCCAGCCTCTTTTGTGGAACGGAGATATGGAATGTTTTCGGAACAAATTGAAAGAGAGGTTGTCCTGCTCCGAAGTCCTCAGATCTCCCTCTGGCTACTTATTCTGATGCCACTCGTTCCAAGTCCACGTCGTGAGTTATTCATGCGCCGCTACATTCATGGAGTCATTCCACTCGACCACTCTCTCTCGCGCTCTAGCCTCGCCGGTCACTCGCTCCCCCACTCGCCCAATATACCCCGGTCGCTCGCTTTTGCTGAATACATAACAATAAATTCTCGTCGTAAAGTGGCCATCGGCGTTGTTGCAGTTTCCGAGGAGGGCGTACAAGACTCCACGACGGGGCCGGTTTCTCTGCAGGCTCAGAATTCTTTTACGACCGACGCAATTGTTGTCACAGCTGAAGAACGCGCTTTCGCGCCTCAATTATTGACCGGTGTCGACGGAAAGGTTTGCATTGCCGTTCGGGAAGCAGCAGTAAACAAGGAGGAAACAAAAACCATGAGTAAACAACAATTCGAGACCACTTACCTTCGAGACTTTGATTTACAGGAGACGGAGTTTCGATCAAAACCTCGAATCCGTCCTGAGCCGAGACGAAGACTTTCTTCGCGGGCTTCCAATGACTGATTGCGACTTGGTGACCGTCGTAAGTGGCTCGCAAATGAGCTTGGGAAGGAGTTGGACAAGTTAAATCGGTCGTTTGCATCGGTTCCACTTCCTCAAAGCGAATTTCAGCGAACACCCTGCCCTAGTTGGCTTTTAGCTGTACGCACGTACCTAATGACATGGGAAAAGGGAGAACGGGAACGACAGCGGGGACAATCGAATGCTGTCCGCTTGCGGCTGAAGCGTCGACGGTGCACGCGAGCGAGTCGACCGCACTTGTTCCCAGGAGGAAGCCCTCCGTCGGGCCCAGCTTTTAGGAATGACTATCGAATGGGGAAGCCGAAGTCTTCGCTCTCGATCGGGTCTGGAGGCGAGCCCTTCGCCACGTCGGTCGGTCGGCACTCTGCCCAGCCGCGGGGAAGACGCGCAACCCAGAAGGCAATTCAATTTTGTTCACCCTCCACAATCGCTCTCGTATTGTCTGAAAGCATTAGTTGCTGTCTGGCGTTACGAGATGTTGCCAGCTGCAATATCTCGGAATGACTGACTTGCGAGTAAGTGATTTTTTCCCGTGGCGTACGTTCCCACCGGAAACGGTGCATTACCGTTGAACGAAATGCTCATTGGGACGGTTTCCGCTCGTCTCCACCGAATATTAAAGGAGCCATCGAGCATTCCCAGCCATCGAGTCGGTATACGAGGATGATGGGAGCAGGTCCTAAATTTCGTTGCGGGAGCTCTGATGCCTGCCTGCCTGCCTGGGACTCTTTCTTTTTTTTTGGGTCCACCTGCTCCCGCCGCAACGTTCAGAGGTCTTCAATGATCTTCATCTCGCCTTCGGCGCTAACGAGGGGAGGTTTCGCCTGTGTTGTGACCGCTCTGCTTGCGTTGTTGCTGACGGCATCTAATAGCTCCAACCACGCTGATAAGATACACGTTTCGCGGGCGCTGTTCCATCGGTGGGGGTCAGAGACGGGGTCGAGCGCAGGCGATGGCCTAACCGCACTAGCATTTTATTACAAGACGACACGAGCCCAAATTACTCCAACGGTATCACCTAGCCAAAATATCACGTACTCTCTACGTTATGCGAAAGAACGGTGCCACGTCGATGCATGAAATCCCTGCTCAGCGCTCGCTCGGAAAACTCGAATGCGCCATTCGCGGAACTGTTTCGGCTACGGCTCGTAAAACACTGTTGTAACCTACTTTATAGATAAAGACCTCCAGAGGGACAAGATTCAACTGCCGACGCAGCTGCTGTTTGGAAAAAATCATCAACCAGGGCTGTGTGATAATCAGAGTCATCTCAAAGTCATCGTCCGACCCCTGAGCGGTATCGTTTTGGCATTTTTCTCATCGGAAACATTTGGTTGCGCGTACGTATTTTCGCAAGTCCCGCGATTCCACCCCCGGTATTCAAGTACGAAGTCGGGGGATCACTCTTCGGAAGTGAGGAGTCGTACGTGAACAGAGGCGGAGAATTCGAAATTACTCTCCGAAATCTTCGCGTGATCGGAATGCCTCTTTCGTCGGAGTCCGCAGCGTGATCACGTCACTCCGGATCGCCACCCAGAGAGAAACTCTCAGAGTGCCGGATCTACATCTGTGATTGAGCTGCGGTGAGTGGAATCGCTTCTTGAGTTGGTGAATATTCACACTCGGTCCCTCAAGAGCCTCGAAGCGGGCGACGTTCTTGCGGTCTTTGCACGGAAGCTTCCCGCAGCGGGAGCGTGTGGGCGACGTCTACTGGAATCGATGTCTCGAGAGCCCAGAGCGAGTGAGCTCGATTTGGGTTTGCTCCCCTCTCGAACTGACCCGTCGAAGAAAATTGTACTCGATCGCAAGCATAGTTCTGCTTGGGGGAGCATAGTTCCGTATTAAGCTCGTCGTGTTCGGTCTACTCCTTTATCCGTTAGCTGTGAGCTCAGGTGTCGCCAGATAGATCTCATGGTCGCCCTACTTAAGAGCTCCTGTTCTCTTATGCCCTCTCTGACGGCGCGTTCGATTTCGACAACCTTAGCAGCTCTGGAATCCTGTCGGCTGACGGCTTGTATGCGCGAATATCCCCGCAAATGGGCACTAGATACACTGGATCCCAACTTACGTCTGACTGAGTGAGAGCAGCCGGGGCTGAGAGACGTTGCCGGCTGTATCTCTTCAGCTCGGAGCGTTCCTATCCGGATCAAAAGTTGAATCTCCTTATTGAATTCGTAGCTTCACCCGAGAGATGAAAGGCCAAGTCCATCTCCGGAGCAGTGAACCTTCCATCCGCTCACCCATTCACCAACCCCATCTGATGACCGAGCGACCACTCCTAGAGCCCAGAATCTTCTTAGGGATTGAGATGAATCGCTCTTCCTCCGTTTGATGCGCTTTGCTGCGAAAGAAAGGAGACGGGGAGAAATTCCCTCTGTCCATGTCAGCGACCGAGGGAAAACCTCTGTCCCTAAGTCTCACTTTGTTTTATAACAATAAGACTCCGTATAGACTTCGAATCGAATTCGAGAAACCAAAGGCGACCGAAGATTTTCCGCGCCATATCGCTCATTAAAAGAGCTATCTCGGAGGAATTCTCCGCTGAATCCGTCTGAAAGAAATCGTCGTAATGAATAAGAGGAGTCGGAATCAAACTCGAACTCGACACAAAGAGTATCTGCAGCCGAATTTATCATTATTTCGTGTTTCGCGCCTCAGTGTCGGCTCGGTCGTCGGGTGGGGAACGACAGCGAGATGCAGGCCCGCAGATTTGAGGGTAAATGTTTCGTGACCAGCGAGCGCGGGTCGCGCTCTATAATCATTAGCTGGCAACTTTGAATCTGGATGCCGTCACTCTCCCATTGGAAATCAATATGGTAAGCAGCGGCTGACGCTGCAAAGTTCCATTTGTTCGGCGCTTGCTCTGCAGGCTTGAGGGACTGGATGAGGCTTCCCTCGTCTCGTCTTCCTTCGGAGGAGCCCGACTGAGCCGCGTTTGATCTTGAACAATCAGAGATTGCTTTGAACAAAGGCAAATAAGTCGTCAATTGATCTCGCTTAGGCCCGCTCTACGCGGCCCGCCATCGGTTCGAACGACCGCGACGCGACGGTCTGATTCCTCGGGTCAGTAAAGGGAAGACGCGAATCTCGGCCGAGTCTTCGTCGTGTTGTAGTCGCCGCATTCAGATTATCCCAGACCGCTGTTACGATAAGATACAATGAGCGAATTCAGCTCGTTGCTCCGTCATCCGATCCGTGTGGTCTAGCAATTGAACGCCGAACACCCGATCCTGACGCACCACACGCTCGCGACATCGGCGTCGTCGAGCTCTGCTGTCTAACTAAAACGAAACACAAACAGACGGCAATGGCGAAAGTAGTTCGCTGGGACAGTTTATAGAATTGTGCCCTTCTATCCATGGTAGCCGACAATAGCATCCGATCGGATTCAGCTAATTATCCGCACGTTCAATCGGTACTCTGTGCGGTGGACATCGAGCCTCGTCATCGAGGATTGATAGGAGGAACTACCCGCAATTCCATTCGAAGTCTCCTATCTATGATAACGTTCACTAGGCCAACTCTACGCGCGTATCGCCGTGGATGGTTCCGGTCTAGACGGCTAACAGACCGGAAGTTTATCGGCGCCCCGTGAGAAACTTCAAAAATCGAAACGTCGGCTGGCAGCTCCGGGTCCGGGCCCAAGGTGGAGTCCACGCGCGAGTCCAGTGTGAGCTGCACCTAGCTCTCTAGGAATGCCGATTGGAGCACGACCGGCGAGGGAACATTTGAATCGTCTCGCCGAAAATCATCACGGATCTTGCCGATGATCGGGCAGAGCTCCCCGCACAAAATGAGATCGTTTCGAGATGTCCGGATAATAACTCACTACTCGAATTTTCATTTCAGGAAATGATGTTGAAGGTTCCGGTGTTAGCGATTCACGTATGCTGACACCAGGGGAGCAACAATTGTGCTTCCGAAATGCGTCGCTTCCCTCGACGTGTGTTGAAGTTGGCCATTGGAGCAGTATGTCTGGTGTCGGTGACGCTATTTTTGAGCAAAGGGGTAGAAAATGGCTCAAACCTCGACCTACGAGCGCAGCCGATGGCCTTACGGCAGGAGTCGGAGCAAACCACGGTGAGCGACAAAAAAACGGAAGATAGTTTTTCTTAAGAGCCACGTAACGTTCTCTCTGTATCAACATACTCTGGAACACCTCTGGTCAGATTCCCCTACCCGGTTGTACCCGCGGAATGATTTTCGCGACCAGATGTCAATCCTTTGTTCAGAAACTCTCGACTGATGATTTCATTATTCAGCTTTTGTTATGTATGGCGATAGAAACAATCATCAATCATGATCCAGGAGAAGAGCGTTCATTCATCAAGTTGGGGGTGGATTTTCAATCATATTATTGCATTTACAGCTTGAAACTTCCGGGCTGATTGACTGGCACGATTACCCGTCAATCGCGGCCGAGAAGCTCGCCCAGGGTCCAGGGGAACAAGGCGCGGCAGTTGAGCTACCGAAAGACGCCGAAACCGAGCAGCGGAAAGAGAAATTGTATAAAGTCAACGGTTTCAACGCGGCTGTGTCTGATCTCATTGCACTGAATCGGAGTTTGCCTGACATTCGACACTCGGAGTGAGTTATTCCGAGAATTCCCTCTCAGCACATGTATGCCTCGAAGCGAACAATCCGGCCGGCCTTGCATCCTCATATACCGTTCTCCATGCCCTCAGATGTCAGAACATCCGTTATGCCGCACGCTTGCCCACCGCGAGCATTGTTATTCCTTTTCACAACGAGCATCTCTCGGTGCTACTGAGGACCATCACGAGTGTACTACGAAGGTCGCCCAAGAGCCTCATCAAGGAAATCATCCTCGTTGATGATTTCAGCTCAAAAAAGAGCTAGGTGAGTCATTGTATGAGCAAAATGTCTCTCCCCGCCGGATTGCAGAGGCTCAGACCATAGCGTCGAGTTTGTTCTCGTAGCGAATTCTCTGCGAGCTGCTTGGATAGGCTCTGAGCGGACTTCGGTGTTGCAGGTACCGAGTTGGAAAATTATTTATCATCCCATTTCGGATCTCAAGTCAAGCTGTTGAGAGCTACGAAACGTGAGGGACTCATCCGAGCTCGTCTTCTGGGAGCCCGAGCGGCGGAAGGAGACGTACTTATTTTCCTCGATTCGCACACGGAAGCCAATGTGAACTGGCTGCCACCCCTTCTAGGCAAGTCGGTGCTCGACTCGCCGAGTAGAATCGTTGAGGGACCTCCCCGGCGGAGTCTGAAGTGTAGGTATATCGATGACTCCACGGATAGTTCGATATAGCTATAAACCCACCGATCCTCTTACAGATCCTATCGCGAGGAATCGACGCACCGTTGTGTGTCCCTTCATCGATGTGATCCACTACGAGACGTTCGCCTATAGGTCGCAGGACGAGGGAGCCCGAGGGGCATTCGACTGGGAGTTGTATTACAAGCGGCTGCCTCTGTTGAGTGAGGACTTGAAGAGGCCGACTGAGCCCTTTAGGAGTCCAGTGATGGCCGGCGGGCTGTTTGCCATCGATCGCAGCTACTTCTGGGAGTTAGGTTAGTGAGCAGAGTCTTGGAAGAGGTTTCTCATAACGAGAGCGATCATCGAGCATCTCCGCCGATGAAATCCATGTTCTCAGAAGATAGTTATTGCGTGCGCGGAGGTTGCTGGATGCGGAAAGTCCGACGAACACGAGCCGGATGAACGAGAACATCGCGCGGAGCCCCATAATTAGGGAAGCGCGGGTTGGTCGGTGATGATGCTCAACTGTGGTCAGGATCCCCGGCATTATTTCCTCCGACTGCGGCGTCATTACGTTAGCCGTCATTGTTGTTAGCGCGAAAACGGCATCAGTTTCCATTATCGGGACGAGTATGATCACACCCGGCTTGGCCAAAGCTGCGACCGACACCGAAACCGCCAAGACCACCACCGACGACGCACTCACAGACGTATCGACCAACCAGCCGACCGACGCACGCACGGACGGACCAACCCGCCGATACCACAACAGGCTCTAATCACGTCCAGTGCTTGGGTGGAGTGAATATTGGCTGCGGAGCTCGGTGTTTGGGTCGAGCGGAAATATTAGGCGGCTGCCCCGCCACCGCCGAGAAGGAACATATGCAACGAACGAATAAATAATTGAAGCGCGATATTGTTCTCAGGTGGTTACGACGAGGGTCTTGACGTGTGGGGTGGAGAACAGTACGAATTATCGTTCAAGATATGGCAATGCGGCGGACAGATGTTCGACGCCCCATGCTCGCGTGTAGGGCACATCTACAGGAAGTTCGCGCCGTTCCCTAATCCAGGCATTGGCGATTTCGTTGGGAGGGTAAGCACGACGCGCGGCGGCGAATTCCTCCAGTTCCGTTTATGCTCAGCTAGGGACCTTGTTTTGAGATAACGATCGTGATTCCGTCCCTAGAACTATCGTCGGGTCGCCGAGGTCTGGATGGACGAATATAAAGAGTTCCTGTACAACCGACGACCGCACTACCGCACTTTGGGCTACGGCGACGTGTCGAAGCAGAAAGCTCTGCGGAAGAAACTCAAATGTAAGCCGTTCAAATGGTTCATGGAAACGGTCGCGTTCGACCAGCCGTTAAGATACCCACCTGTGGAACCGCCTGATTTCGCTTGGGGTGCGATACGGAATGTGGGCGCCGACAAATGTCTGGACACCAAGTTCAAGGAACAGGGCAAACGCTTCTCATTGGAAACGTGCATCAGCTCGAACGGCGACGTGAGCGGAGAACAGAATTTCGTACTTACGTGGCATAAAGACCTTCGTCCAGCGAAGCGTAATGTGTGCTTCGACGTGTCGTCGGGTGAGAAGAAGGCCCCGGTAGTGTTGTGGACGTGCCATGGAATGCACGGCAACCAGCTCTTCAAATACAACGTGGTAAGTTTCGTACTCTGTACATCGGCACCGCCCACAGGCGGATCTCAGCAGTGAAGCGCTCGCCGCTAGAAGCTCAAAATAATTCGAACTCGTTTCCTGACCGGTAACTCGTCGACCTACTCCGGACGGGCCGGCGAGTGGCCTGCAGAATCAATCCGGAAACGATAATTGCCATTCAAAGAGCGCGTAGCGAGCTCCCGCATCCCGCGCCGCGCCCCCTCCAGTGGCTCGCGGAGGCTCTGATTCGCATCCGGGATAGTGAGACTCTGAATATTCATTTCCAGAACACCAAGCAGTTGCTGCATCCCATCACGGCCCAGTGCATCGACTGCGATCCCGGCAATCTGGAAATATTCATGAACCCTTGCGACGTCGAGTCGAACACCCAGAAATGGCTTTTCGACCACATGAATTCGACAGCACTTCTAAATGATTGAATCAGTTCCTCCTCCTCGCCCCGTCGCCTCCGATCGGAGAGCCGTGCAGATGGGCGGCACGCGCTCGCCTAATTCGATGAAGTCATCTCAAAGTCGAAGGCCTGTCGAGCGTAATTCCGCTATCGGAATGGATTGCTTTTCTCTGACGGTAGATATTCCATCGTCTGCGACCCGGATGAAACCGAGCCTGAGGGGCCCCGAGCCAATGACCATAGACCCGTCTGTCAGGCTCCAAAATCTGTGATATTAGAAACGGAATCGGAATTTTTCGTCTGAGTCCGTGATCTGGATGTGGGACGCCACGGAGGTTTTGTAAATGAGATTGTTACGAAATTTATTTTTCGAATAAACTTGGTACAGGATTGTGTAAGAAGATCGCGTAATCATTCCTCGGCCATTTTCGTTCTTGTATCATTATCGGCTATTCCAGCATCCGAGATCTATAATTCGGAAGACCCATTGATCGGAGACTCGAAGAAGCTCCATTGATGGGCCTCACATCAAGCTCGTCGCACTTTCTACCGCAGGAGGAGTCAAGCGTTCGCATGAAGATGAGCTAGGTTGACGCGGAACGCTCTTAGCTACTTCCCCTGACGGATCCCCGGGAGAATGTGAGTCGCTACGTTTTCTGGCTCGTTCGGAGACGCCTCTCAGGCTACTGGCGCGGCAGCGGGAGAAATGAGTAGCTCTCTGATATAAAAAGCATACTCACGAGGGAAATCAGGATAATGCTGTTTACGTCAAGTGATGTCGGAAGAGTAAATGCAGGTTCCCAAGGAACATCGGTAGACTCTCGCAAAAAAGGTCTGGGCATCATGGGTGAGGTCCGCGAGCAGAAAATGAAAATCCGTATTCCTTACAATTTCTAACGGAGAGACTCGAGCAGATAGAACACAGTCGGACAGATAGGTGCCCTCGAAGACAATTCGAAGCTTACGTCGATCTCCGCCGTAGAGGACGACCCCTCGAAGTTTTGACGGATTCTCGAAAGAAGCATGGAAAATTTTAGGACGGCATTTTAGGACGTCAGTGCGATGATACCCCCAGCGGACGGGGAGCATCTGAGTGAGCAAATGATACAGGCTCGGCAAAGACGTAGATTTTCGAAGTACCAGAGTGTCTCCGCCTCATTGCACTTCGCTCCCTTTTGGAGCAGCGACTCATCACAGCTAAAAGAGCTCTCTGCTTCATTTGATTCAGCTTTCGGGAACTGCGAGTTCCCCTTGCTCTGATCGCGAACATTTCTCACCTTCCCGCATCGAATGCCTTCCATGCGCGGAATCGAGCATTTTTCTCCCCTGATCTGTAACAAATGTGTCGTCTTCAGTCATCACTTCGCTGTCGGCAGCGACAAGCCGACAAGAAAATCAAGGGATACGTCGGAGACTGACAGATTGCGAGCGCTGCATGGATTGAGGAACCGAGGCTTTGAGCTCTCAGCAGAAAAGTTAATACTCGGCTGCCGGGCGGAATGGGTGGAAACGCTCGCTGGCTGTGCTCACCGACCGCGGCGGCACGACCACTGCAGCTGCAAGTGCTCCTGCACTTCCTGCCGCGGTAGAGCTCCGAGGGGGTTCGCTAGTGGGTGATCTCTTTCCTAATGGAATCGTGTAATTAATGAGGCTGAGGATGGTGCCACACAAGCCCTGCACGTCAAAACACCGCCACCACGACGTAGCTAAGGAACAAAGGCTCGGCACGAGTTGTGCAATACCCTGCCAGTCAGAGGAGCGTGATCTGCGTAAAAAATACTTATGCATTTCCCGTGCCGTCAAATCGATAAGAGGCTTACTGAAATGGTCCGTTTGCGAGGACGGAGTTTGAAGAACGAGGAACCTGATTTGGCCTCTCTCAAAAGACGAGATCGCCCAGTTGGGCAGGTGACGCAACACCACTTCAAAAGACTGCTGGCGGAAAACCTGGTGTCTCGATATTAAAAGCGGACCACCGCATTCAGTCTGATGGTAGGGCACGCCCGTATATTCTGCGATCTCTCGACGGACCTCTGGGCAGCCGGAACAGAGGAACGACATATTGCGTCACATGCGGGGAGGATCTTTTCAGCGGACCATCAACGGCAGATTTTCGCTCTCCGGAATAATAGTCTCCTGGTCCTCAAGGATCCCGAGCTTTCCGGCGAACTGAAATTACCGACCTTCGAGAATGCCCGGCAATCGCCCGCGATTCTTCACGAAACTTCGCCATCGTGAAGAAAATTCGTGGATGCAGACTGAGTATTCCGGAGCTCCACAGAACTTTGGCCGCTAGCTTTCCTCTGACGGAGATCGCCGCTCCGGAATGATATCTGTTCCCGGACGCGTCTATCTACTATCTGTGTCGAGCTCCGGGGACTCGGCGGTGGATGATGATAGTCAACGGAGTAGCTCGCTGGAAAAGGGACCGAACGACGAATAACGGACGAGTTGATGGCGAGCAAAAAGTCGTAAAAGGGAAACACTTCGTCTGTTGAATGCTCCCAAGAGCCTCGTTACGTCTAGGAGTCGGCCGAAAGTGATTCACTCTTGTCGGAACTTTTCCGTCCCTCAACCCGTTCATCAAACTCGTAATTTATCGAACAACATCCGTCCGGATCCTCCCGACGAACAATCCCTCGGACTGAGCCGTGCCCATCCTGCTCGAGAAAACCCCCATCCCCGACTCCTCTCACTCGGACTTTATCGAAAGGCTCGCTCCGTCTTCATCGGGTGGAGGATCCTATGTCCCGTTGCCTAGGACTAGACACGCCAGAGCCCCCTCAAGCGACTCTGATCCCAAGATCGTACCGCAGGAGTGGTGGATCCGATAATCATCCAAGGCTCGATTCGATTGGACGTCAGCGTCGGGGCTTACCTCTCACCCCAACAGGCTTTTGAAGGGGACAATAAATCCAACGGATACCATGGGAGACCAGTTTTGGTTTGCGGCGGCACGGTCGACACCGAGGCCACCCGCTCCTCGGTGATTCGCATGTTGTCGAAAGTCTCATTGGAAAGAAAGAAAAATCTCGTCCAGTAGCCTTGCAGCACAGCACTCACCTCGTCATGATGAGCTGTCGGTGTTCCCTCGGAGGGGGCGTGACAGATCTATGATGAAACTGGACGACTAGATGAACCTCCTACCGAGCAATCGCGGGTCGAGGGACAGCTACCGACGAAGCGCACTCGGACAGAGGCAGGAAGAGGAACTTCATTCACAGCGATAGTGGTGCTCGTGCCAACGACGTGCATGACCAGAATGATAACAGCTGAGTGCTGTGGGCTTTCCGAGTGGGTTCGGTCACGCAAGCGGGAGGTGGTTGGGCATCATGGGGACAGCTTGAGTCTGAGCGCTTAGCTGGGCTCACTCACTCATTTTCGAACCCACCGAGCTTACAGTGAGCGATAGTGAGTTCACCCTAGACTTGAGCAACTAAGCGCGAATCTCTCGTTGTGCCTCGCTGATATTCTTGTTTAGATCGATGTCGTCGTCGTCGTCTACGTCAACACCGTCCTTAGTGATGATGGTCTAATTGCTTTGTCGACTTGCTTCAGTCGAGCGCAAAATGCACTAAGCTTGTTTAATTTATTTGCTCGTTCACTTCCTTGCCTGCCCACTTGATCGGTTGCTGGTGCAGCTGCCGCGCTCGAGCTCGTAGGTAGGTACACCGGCCAGCTTTGTGAATAGAGGCAATTAGGGAAATAGTCTACACCTACTACCACCGAACTCGCACGAAGTGTTTTGCATCGTTCCAGACACGCTGAAAAGAACTGACTACGGGTACGAATTGCCCCGTCGCATGAGTCTGACGGGCATTGCACGGGTGGAGACCTCGTCGAGCAGCGATCAACTACCGAATCTCGTATCGAGCCGATGTAAGGCTGCAGCGGACCGTAGATGATCGAGCGAACTCGCCGCAGAGAGCCGAAAAGTTTTGGAACCTGTAATCGGAGATCCATCTAATCTAAAACTTGAAAATCAGTCTGTTAGAATATCACGGATTCGCGTAATCTAGTGCTTCTCTCTTGCTCGCTCAACTGCGGTATAGGCGAGAGCTACCTCGTGAGAAGCAGATAAGGCCCATGAGGAAGAGGGGTCGCATTTTGATTCCAAGGATTTTTATCCCGGAAGATGACAATTTACAATTAGATGTCTGCGTGACTCCGCTCGCGTGCATCGCTCCATCAGATTGCTCGCTTTATCGGATCAACGGATCGCCTCTGTCGGAGTGTACAGTTTAATCAGGTCCTTTTTGGCAACTCGAACCGGGAAAAGCGGACTCCGACGGCTCCCCGTCAAGTTTTAGCAGTCGAGAGAAAATGACGAGGACTTGATTTTCTGCTCGCATCGGAACGCTTTCAGGGAGCCTTGCTCCGCTCTCAGAAGCGCAACTGCCCGGCGGAAGACACTGATGTCCCATAGCGAATAATATGCAGCTCTTCGTCTTGATGCGAAAAATCAGCGCATCTCGGCGTCGAAGCGCGTATCTGACGACTCTGGTACTGATCGGTCCGAAAACCTCTGCCAGACGTCACGGTGCCCAGTCCACACGGGAAGCTGAACGAGTGGTCTCGTGCTCCCTTCCTTTGAAACGGAGGAACATGAGCGATTCCTGCCACGTGGCGACACCAAGCGCTCATGAAGGCCACAGAAAAAGGAGAAAATGAAAAATGACTTACGGCTGTGCTCATCATAGGAAAAGTTAGCCTAACCTGTCTTGTCGTACCCCGTCGACGTAGAGGGCGGGTACAATATTCACTTTCCAGAGTAGTGCCGAGGTGCCCATCCGGAGGTGATTGAAAGCCCGGAGAACTTTCATTGAAGCCTGACCGATCGAAATATACATATCGTTCCGTTGGGTTTTCGTGCTTGTCACGACAGTACATAATCCCCTGACGATCGGGAGGAAAGAGTCGCGACGAAGCACGCAGCCGCAAAAACGCGGGGAGAAACTTCAGGTATGTCCTCTGAGTGAGCATGAAAAGCCAAGGAAATCCGACTGCGACGTCGCGTCGCCTCCATCCAGCGCCTAATATCTCATGACAATCTCTATTTCCCATTCGATCATCCCAATCCAGCGAATATAAACGGATTGCCCCGGGAGATTATCCTCCAGCGGATCGATGTCCTCGGTATTTGACAGGGTACATGCAAAATGGTATCGGACTGGATACTACTCGGGAAAGGCTGTGGCGGTACTACCTGCAGACGCCACGCGTTGTCCCGCTCCATGCAAAACGAAAACAAATCTTGCGTTGTTGTTGTTGTCAGCATCCATTTGTCTGTCAGCGAATTTCCCAGTTTGATAGATGATGCCGTGCTCGCATACAGCCGCCGAACATCGCCAGTACGGGAGGCATGCCCGTGCTGACGGAGACTTCTCC